CGCGGAATGTCAAGCGTGACGGCTCGCGTAATTACAAAGTCTGCTAAACAAATCATGAACCACGGGAGAAATCGCGATACGATGACTTTCGCGCTCTTCCTGCTTAATATGAAGCAAACCAGGTTTGTCACAAACCATTATTGTCTCATTATCAATTTATACTCTCCACGTTTAAATTATTTAATACAAATATATAATACTAGGATCACTTTTGCAGTAGAACTGTGTGTATGTGTGTGTGTATGGACAGAAGGAGATATATTTCTAAAAAACTTTATTTGGGGCAGCTGACATTGTCGTGTCCATGAAAGCAAAAGCCGTCACGTCTTCTGTACTCGATTTCTTCCGTTGCGCCATTCGTTACGTCACAGAGATTCAGCGCTTCATGCCGAAGCGATTAAACGTCGTAATTATCTCCGGCAAGGAGGTCGAGCTTCGAGAACGTACACGTGCACCAACTTACGCTTTCGACGATGCTTGATGGAGAAAGTGAAAATAATTTCTTCATCGGACCCGGTCGTCCCTTTCGCCGCTAGCATCAGATAGCAGTGGCGCGGCTAGTTAGATGTCGTCGTAATTGTCCACCGGTGAGTGAAAGACCTTCGTTGGCACTCTTCATTAGCGCAACGTCAAGTTCAAGGCCGAAATGAGTTCCAAATCAAACTCGAGATAAAGAAAAAGAGAGAAAAAGAAAAATTAAGGCAGGTGCCATATGTTGAATCTTAGATACTCTTCCAAGTTACCGTCATCGCCGTTGTCGCCATTATTATCATTATCATTATCGTCATCATCTCGAAAATCTCAGAGCTTTTACCTAATCGCACCCATTTACGCACGCCAATCACGTGTGAGAACCAAGCTCGCGGTCCATCACGGAAGGGAAATCTCCTGACCCGCGAGTTCTCTTCGGACCAGAACCACCGACCCCTCACGCTGTCGTAAATCATGAACACGGACGTTTTCTCGCACTTCGTCACTGTGCACCACTGATCGCCAATCCAGACACAATCGTGCCATTACGCGGTTTAAAACCTTTATGCGTTCTGTAAATGCCCTTTAATAGTCTGAATATAAGAAAAGCATTTTTGATTGGTCCGCCAGATTTTAACAATTCCTGAAAGAAAGAGAGAGAGAAAGAGAGAAAGAAATAGATGAAAAGAAGATAGGACAGAAAAAATAACGAATATATCTCCTTCTCTCTCGTAGATTTTTGTAAAACTATCTGACGTTGAAGTTTTGCATTAAATCTTCAAAATAAAATTATAAGTGTCTTTTAGTAAGTGCACAATAAAAAAATCTGGTTCTATTGGAATTCTGAAGAAACTGAACACACATACCACACGAATTAGAATTTTCTAGTTTAATCTTCAAGAACTTTAGTTGACATATTATAATTGGAATTCCAATTTATATAATTCGATGATTTTTAATTAGATATTTTTCTCAGTGCATATAATAAATTGAAAATTTATAAAAAAAAAAATATTAATTTAAAATCAAATTTAATGCTACAGATATGCATGTATATTGTGGGTAAGAGTTAAAAATTTGTTATTGAAAATATTGCAATTTAGAATTAAAGTATGAATTTCTCTTCATTGAAATTATATACAATAATGATCGAGAAATGGCGGAACTACAAGACTTTCAGCCAGATCATAAGCGACAGCAGAATTATGAAACGTTCACATTTGAACCTCGTTATATTGATATATCACACATTGCAACACAAATTTACGCTTTTTGCATATGTAAATCACGTAGGGCGAGTGTCGCGGAAGGAATCAATCAACATATTGTAATGAACGTAATTCGTGTAACTCAATAAGCCCGGCAGCGTTGATTGAGTAGTAACCCGGGGACATTTATTAGATCGGCGCTTTTGCATAAACGTATTTTTCCGCGGAACAGGCGGCGGCTTCATCGAGGGTGCACATCTTAACGATCCGCCTTGCTGCCCCATCATCATGCTACGCAATAACTCTCTTCTTAGTGGCGGCATGGCGCGCACGGCGGCATGTCCAATGTGGAGCACCGTCCCCTCATCAGCTAGATCCACGGCACGTAGACCGACTTTAAGGCTCAATTATTTATGTAGCCGAGTGAGTGCCGCTGATTCGCCCATGCGATGATTACGCCAATCATAATAGGGCTCCGCACCAGCGAGGAGAGAGAGTCGATATTGTGATTGGGCCGGCCACGCGGGATCAGGGCTAACTACCCACAGAAATCAAGACAAAATAGAAACAAGACCGATCCTCAATCACGTGTAATTGTACTCTGTCCGTTCTACTCTCTACGCCGCTATATATACCCCTTCTTGATACTTATATTTAGTAGCGCACAATTTTCTCTCGGTAACTCGCTTCCTGCGTACCTGTTACTCTCGGCCAGCCCAGTAGCCTCTCCTCGTTATTTTCTTTATTTATAGTCATATTCGCTGAAATACCCCGCGTATCATCTCAACGCCGAGCATCGATACGCCGCACGGAACCCTGCATAAAGTCCAGATCTCTAACGTAAACACGTTTATCCGCCAAATCGGTCGTAAAATATCCTGTTATTATCGGGATATGCTACCGTCCGTCGACGCGTGATCGCGAATCAACCCTTCTCCGAGATCATAAACATTTGCTCTTAAACTATATGTAACAACCTTAGAAACTTAGGCAAAGAATAACGTCGACAGAATCTTCTTTTAGGGATACTTGTTATATTTTAGTTTAGATAATTAAAAAAGTGATCTTGATTATTTACAAATAAAGAATTTGTAAGAACTAATTTGTGATTCTAATACAACAGATATCGTTCCCCTCTCTCCAATCAAAAGTAATAGTTGTATAACTAAAAAAATTAAGTTTCTTAAAAAAAAAGGAAAAACTACTTTTTAATTTGACAAAAAGAAAAGATCGATTAATCAAATAATTAACAGAAAGAATTTATTCTTAATATAATCAAATGTCTTTTTCGTCGTTTTTATAATCCTTAAATACTATATTTCTTAATTATAGCAATTTTGATTATTTTCTTAATTTAATTATTAATTCAATTTTAATGGTTGATAAGGTAATATTTATTTAACTTATTCAAGGAAATTATATAATTCAATATACATAGTTCAGAAATCATTTTTTAGTTGAGTCATTTAAAGTAAGAAAGCGATATATGTATTTAAAAAAATATATAAATTATTATGTTCTGCTAAATCTATAAAGAGATAATTAATCGATAATTAATCACGCATTTATCTCATCTAATTATATAAAGAAAAAAAAAATAAAACTTAAATATCCCGAAATCGCGAAAATATATCCGGTCGATAATTTTGTGATTATATATTTGTCATGTTGTAAAATCTTCGCTGTTTGGTGCTAAACTAGCTAAACGGTAGACTAGTGTGAAAAGATTGCACTCAGACCACTCACAGTCAATAATCAGAAATTTGCATTTAGCGCGAAACGTGCAATAATTGACCGAAGGCCGAAGCCCATATTCATCATTCTATTCACTTAGCATCGCTAAAATGTTATTGTGGACAACACGGGGAGCCTCACCCTTGTCTGTGGTGATCATCGGTTCACACCAAGTATAGCATTGTCCATGGACCAAGTCGGCCGTGACAAGATCGAGCGAAGTGGTGAGCGTGATACCGCGCCGCTGCTGCAGGTTTTTGGTGGGGGACCTTGACCGAGTGACGTTCACCAGCGGCAGCAGCATGCAATCGTTCAGGTAGGGAGAGATAGGTGGGTGGGAAGAGTGTTGGAGAAGAAAGAGAAAGAAAGTAGGAGGTAGAAAGAGACGGAAAGCTCGCAGAAGCAACGAGTGACCAGCGCCGGATTGGGCCCGTTCGCTAGTGATGGCACTGATATCCCTGGCGAGGTAATCGAACACTTGACACCATGTATCTTTCATCATCAATATCAATCTACATCAATTTTGGCTGAGGTATTAATCAAGCGGGACTGATGGTAAAATGATCAAGTTATCGAACCGTTTTGAATGCGGCATCGGACAGATTGTTACAATACATATTACAACAAGGAAAAAAAAACAAAATTTGCTGAAACGATAATATCGGCTAGCTTGAGTGATGACCAGCACCAGCTAGATCTTAATAGCGATGGTACTAATACATTCGTGCAAAGTATCGAATGTTTGACACCGTATCTTTATTCTTTCATCGACATCGACTTTTTTAATCAAAGATTATTAATCATGCGTCAACAATTGACACGAAATTATCGAATAGTCGAACATTTTCTTAGCGTACAATGGTATAAAACAAAATTCAACAACATGGATATTAATATAGAAGTTTGTTTCAAATTTTAATTTCTCTTTTTCAAATATATAAATATCTATCTGTAGACATACGTCATCGATACGATAAATTATTTGAGTATATTAAAGTATCAATTTTATGTTGACACAACGTTTTTAGAGGAACATATGCGATATTAAAAATTCTAATATTATAAGCATTGATATCTCTCGAAATAATTCATATCTGAGTAAATGACAACTTATAAAGATATTATACTATTCTCCATAATGAAATTTTTGCTATACTGCCAACTCAATGCTATAATATTAAGATCACTCGATCATTTAAACTTGGATTGGTACATCAACAATTAATCTATATATATATATATATATATATATATATAAGACGAGATAATATTTTTTGAATGATCTGAATCGTTAACACTATCTAGCTTATCAGTATATCTATTTGAGGTATTTATTCGAGGACCAATACTATTTACCTAGAGACTAGTCGTACTTCTCGGCATGTGTATACCTTGAAGTCGCTCTGTACGTCCGTTCGTTCGTCCGTCCGTCCATCCGTGCCTACTCTCCTGCCTGTCTCTGTCGGTGCCTGGGTCCGGTACACCGGTGGGATAGGACGGAGTGCCGCGGTGGAAGGAGTAGTAAGCGGCCTACGCAGTTTCAAGCTGGGTCCCAGCTTTTATTAGTTCTTCGGCGCTCGGCGGAGAACGAACGGAGAACGAACGGAGAACGAACGGCGTGTGCGTGGTGTGGCGGCGGTCTGCGCGTCTGTACCCCTGGTCCAGACCCCTGGTCATCAAGGGTCGCCCCTGCAGCTAAGTCGCGCGAGGTACGAACGTCATCAGTGCTATCGGCGACAAGGTGTCGATACGAGCGAGTTCGGGTTCAAAGAGTCGCGTAATACCAAGTGATCCCGGATATACATACACATATATACATGTCAGTGCGAGACAAATTAGAAGATCGGATTGCCGGTTTACCCGGTGTCCAGTGTTCCTTGTCCTTGGGTGTTATATCTTAGATGTCGGATAACGACAAGTGTCAAAAATTTGGCGCTGGGAAAGCGAAAGGCAGGACAAAATTTGCTTCGTTAATGAATTTGTAATCGGTGGTGTTAAATCTCCGAGATCGACCCCACGGATTTTCGCGTTCCGGTGATAGTGACAGTTACCGCACGTGAGAGTGTTCAGTTCGAATGTAATCAGCAAGTCTCTCGAAAAGAGAGAAACAAGGTCCTTGCTCTTCTCTAGTTCCGCTCGGGGAACCGATCGTACCTGAAGGGGCGTATCCTTAGAGAGAATATACCGGATATCTAAGCGATCGGAATGCTACTGTGCTAGTAAAGGTAAATCCAATATCGATAGGGGCGAAATAATATCGATACGTATTGCCGAGATGACGACTATGACGATGACGAGGATGTTACTGCCGCACATAAGTTGATTCGCAGGATCGAACCGGCAGATACTCACGGTTTGATTATACCGCGGGTCGCGCCGCCGTGGATATTGATCGCGAAAGGGAAACGATACGGGCGTCTTCGGTAGGATAGGTTTTCTGCGCTGTGCGTTCGCGGGATATCGAATAGATTATAGAGAGTCCCGCACGAGAGCGAGAGCGCGAGTTATTTTGCGCGCAGATTGGATCTGCCGGCTTGGTCGGCCGACTGGGCGCTGGGCAAACCAGAAATCCAGCGGAAGGGTAATATCCCATTAACTGAAAGATCAATTAACTCGCGTTAACGGACACTTTAATCACCGCGTGTGCGGCTAGGCAGCTAGGCCTCTCTCGCGGCGCGCGCTCGCGAATCTAGGCGTTTAATCTGCTCGTTCCGAGATCGAGTCGGCCGATCATACGGCCGAGCTCCTCGCCTGCTCGCTATGGGGAGCGATCGCGATATGATGCGAGAGCTGCTCGCGGGACGAGCAGGATATGGAGGAGGTACGCGTATTATTCATTGATGCAGCCGTATTAACAACGCGTCGACGTCCGAGCGTGCCGATTACAGCGGGAATAAACATTTATGGAAATGTCTGGCACGTGTGTGATAGTAAAATCTGTCCTCGCGAGAATCTCTCTTGAGATCAGGCGTGTCTCCCGAATTAATATGCTAAAAGATTTACGCGCGATTTACACGACTAGTCGAATTAATCGTCTCTGAATCGGATCTGTCGTGCGTGTCGAATGAGATTTTTAATAAGCACAACATATGAAAGTCGTCCCGTAATTATCGTGTTATTTGTCGATGACAGCTTGAAGGTAGCTCGGAGGTAGCTTGATAGAAAGTCTAATTATGGAGAAATATTACACAAGGTTATCAATTTAGTTTTATAAATGTAAACGAATCATAACATTGATTTAATAATTAAATTTTAACTAGCCAATTTTATAGTATCTTCTCTATTTTAATCTAACAGAACCAATTTTTCATTGAAGTAATTATTTTATTCAATTATGAAAGATAAAAAATATATCTTTTTTTTATATTATATTATATTAGATGTAGGTATGTAATATTAAATATAAATAAGTTTAATCACTCATTACATTTTTAATGAAATTTATCTTTTAACAAAAGATGATAATTAATTATAATTTTACCGTGAAAATCAATATAGTTGATTACATTCAAATATAATTATATTTTTAAAAATATAATGAAATAGATCATCTCCAACCATTACAGAAACTCAAACAAGTAGTTTAAATAGCTCAATGATCAGACATGCGTTTTAAAACATTTTTCCTTCTTTTGGTAGCTGCTCAATTAAAAATCCTATTCAAAAATAAATTTTATTAATATTTTTTTAAGTTATGTATGTATATTACGACGTCTTCTATCATAAGAACCGTTCGCTCTAAGTAGACTCTCGATGCACACAACTCGCGATTGCTTCTTTTTCGCCGTTTTCCTTTCGCTCTTTCGCCTGTCCGCACTCGCGAGATGAAGATCACGCCCATCAGCTCGAGGTGCAAATCCTCTCGCTGAATCTCCCGATACGGCGTTTTATCGTATGGCGTTTCAACATACGGCGGGCGGGCGCGCGTCGCGATTGAGACGTACGCGGATATAAAGAAGACGAATACACGAGACGGTGCAACGATAAGCACCGTGTACCGGGAGAACTTTCGGCCTTGACGTACAAAGTGTGTCAGTGTTACTCGCGCGAGCGAGCGAGCGAGAAGGAGATGGGACGGACGCCTTCGATGGGAATCGCCGTTGCTGGATCCATTCACCATAATGCACCCGCACGTAACGTGACCCTTCGCGTGGCGTCCAGATTTCTCAGCTAGACCGCGGATAAGCGATGAGCCGTGTCTCGTCCGTAATCGAGCGACGAGGAAGGTGCGCGGAACGTAATAGGCAGTTACGCAAATAAAGCGATCACGCCGGGTTTTTTTTTTCTCGCGAGTCACGAGTCGCGACTTGTGTGACTTCCATTTCCATTTCTGGCATTTGCGTCATGCTCTATGCGCGCATATCGTGTCTCGGTGTGTTCTATTAGTTTTGAGTCATATTTCCGCATTGAACGATACAGTAACGGTCCGCTTTCTCGAATAATTTATAAGCGTATAGTTTATTACACCATTCCTTAAAAATTGAATTTAAAAAATTATATCGATTGTCAAGCGATAGCTGCAATGAAATTTTGAACTTTAAGTCTTGAATCAAAAGATCAACCATAGTCGATTTTTTATCTCACATTTGACTGTATTGGTCAATTTCTTGTGGCAAGGCTAAAAACTTAAGAGTTATGATTTAAAATATTGTAAACTGCTTTACAAAAAACGTTAAGAAAAATTCTTATGTCAAACTTCGAAATTATTTGATATAAAAGATAAAGCTCTTCAAACATTTATTAACTGTCCTGAAATTATTTCTACGATACAATTGTATTATACTTTTCACACACTGATGATGTTTGGCTTTATATAGCGTTCTTGATCTTTCTGCTGACATGTCATAACGCTAATTTATAATATATAATTCCACCTATACACTGTTAAATTCATAATGTCAAATTATATTCACAATTGGAGTTATTTTTAATCATTTTTTTACAGATTATGTGTCATGTCATTAATTTGACTAAAACAATGAAGTTAAATAATTTAACTCAAATTTAGTTTATTATTTATTAAATGCATACGTTAATGTGGACGATGTTTACACTAATCACAAAAATTAATTAATTTATATTTTGACACACATGATAATTAAAAATAATAAAATGCTAAAATTATTTAAAGAGTTAGTGTTAAGAAATTGAGTTATTATTTTTTCTCCTTTTATATTTAACAAATGTATCTTTCCAAAAGTTAGAACATAAAATAAGATTACGAATTCATAAATTTGTGAATGTTTTTAGTAATGCGGCAAATAACTATAAATATCCAAACTTTGTTACACTATAATACGAGAATTTTGATAACATTGCCAAAATAAAATGATGCCGTTTTAATATGAAACATCTTACCGAATAAAAACGTAAAAATGTGAAAAAATTAAAAAGCCCGACAGAGTTTAAGAAAAAAACAACCAGAAAAGAAACGATACCGTGATGGACAAAATTGGAGAATCCCAAACAATTAAAAGCATCCGAGATACGATCTATCGGCAAATTGTGTCGGGCGTAAACGCAGAGATTCGTCCCGAACAGAGTGCTCGTAAACCATTAGTGATAAAATTCATATAGGGATCTACGTGGAGCGTCGGGAAGAGCAACGTCGAAGCAGGAATTTTATAAATACCAGCGCCCCGGAGAATAAGCGCGCGAGGTTTCCTCCGGGCTTTTACACCGCGCGATTCTTCTCGTGCGCGCGCGGCGATCTAAATTAAAATCTTTCCCCGGCCTCGATTCTCCAACTGCGCAGCGTAAACGGGCTACGGCTAGAAACGAAAGGTGAGTTTCGAGTTTGTGAGAACGTCGAGAAAAATAAGCACCGGGCTTGCACACGCGGAAATGTCACGGCGCTCGTAATGAGTGTCCAGTCGAAACCGGCGTGTCTTTTTTCGGTTATACTATACAATGTCCACGCAAATTTATTGGGCAGTCTGCTGGTATTAACTGTAAAACGCACCGCTTCGCCAGCGAAAAAGTAACGAGATAAAAACGAGTCTCATCAACTTGTTTTCGCAAACGAGTGTGTTCAACATGCGACCCAACAAGAGGTGCCAAGAAGGGTCAATTATCTTAATGTTTAAATTCGTGTGAAAAATAATCTCTTCTGATTACTAAAGATATAATGTTGAATTTTATACTAATTTAAAAAGAATTTACCAAAAAACAAGTTATTGTAAAGTAATTAATAAATTAAATAATTGATCAAAAAACGTATGCACTTATAATAAATAGTAAATAATAAACTAAATTTAAGTTACATTTAAATTCATTTTTTTAGTTAAATTATTTATTTCATTGTTTCTATATATTTAATTGCATCGTTTTAGTTAAATTAACGTATGTCGAGTAGAGAAGTGGCAACCTATAGAAATAATTAAAAATTACTCAAATTGTGTGAATAATTTGACATTACGAATTTAATAGTGCATAACATCGTGTATAAGCTTCCATCTATAATTGTTGCTCAATTTGGATTCTCTCGTACTCTATAATCCCAGCAGCTGCTTTCTAATGGCGGTTGGATTGCGATTGCGAACACGAGGCTTCGCACCTCTGAGGGTCGAGCGAATCCTTCGCATCTGATTGCGGGGGGAGACGGACGCTATCTCCAATTTTATTATCGGATTTCTACACGTCAATAAAAGTCAATGAAGAAGGTGCTAAACATTTTGCGCGCTAAACGGGAGTGTTTATTACGTCGCGGTATCCGAACGCGCGCGTTATAGGGCTAGAAAATAGTCATATAACCGGGTTTGATGTGATTTTATTGCCGGTGCGATTCTAATTTTCGCGCTGTTATTCCGAAACGAATGTGAAATATTTCAAAGGTGGACGCGGGACCGTTAGAGAGACCATTTGGAACGATGCGAGAATTCGCCCTGTGACTTTTTGTGACTTCTGATATTCTTTTCGATCTCGTTTGCTTTTATTTTATCTCTCCGTGAAGATTCTCGTTCTAGCACGCGAGAAAGAACGAATTTAAGCGTCCTTTTGTCTGGATCTCGCCGCCGTCGTCGCTAATGACTAGTGGCGAGGACATCGTGATATAAAATCACCGCAAAGTTCGGAACGCGAGCGTTGTCGCATACTCTCTCTCTCTCTCTGACTGAGGTTACGTTTTTATTATTCCTGTTTACGCTGTTATGCAACATCAGGAAGCAGCAAATAACATGTATTAAGGGATCTTGCACATCGCGTGTGTGTCACCACGATAAAATTACAACATTCTTGCTACCAACGTTCGCAATGCTAAAAAAGCAAATTAAATTACATTTATTTTCAATTTGTGTAATATTTAAGAAACAGAATAATCTTCATTGCAATCGCTATAAAATTTACAAAGCGTACGATTAATATTGTCCTCGTACAGCAGCAATAATATATACCACAACAAGAAATAACATAAGATACCATCTGGAACGTATTTTACAGATATTTTTACGAAACATACGACATGATGTTGTTCTCGCATAACTCGATGTAATTACCTCCGCTTACCGTCAACTATCTTAATTTTCGTCTTTTTCCTGTAAAGAAAAAAAAAAGTGTACACCGTGGCATAGGGCGGAATTAAAATCATGAGAATATAGTCGTGTCGTGTCGCCGCACTTAGCAACATTCCTATCCTTCGTTTTACTGTTATCCAGCCTCGTATAGCGAGTAACGACGAACGCATTAGAGGTCCTTCTCGTACATTAGACGTGGTCCAGTCGAAACCTCTGCGATATCGTCGCCGATTTTTTTTTTACCCTCCAGATCGAATCGAGCATTTCCCCCACGCGATTAGAGTGACTAGAAGGCGCGTGGGAGTCGATGCGCAAAAGGGTCCCGTCGTAAACTCTCGAATCTCGAAAAAAAATATATTAACGCCAGTTTTTATAGCGGGGTCCCCGCGGGGAACAGCCGGGAGACCTCTGCGGTCCTGTTTGCCAAATATGGCTACCGAGCCTCCCAAGTGTATCTTAATCCTTGGATCGAGCCCCATGCGAATTGTCTCATTTGAAAACCGTGTCTCTTCCCTTGCGCTCTCCCGGGGCTAATAAAGTCGTTGAGCGACGGCTCACCCCCATGTGTCACGTGTGCGAGAAGATAATGTGTCACTCTGGTCAGATGGCCTTGAGAGATGGACAGGTACGTGCGCGTGCAGGGTCACCTTTATTTGTTTCAAGGGCAGATAGCTCGACCGCGACTGGACAAAAACGCACGACGAATGTTAATTCCTTTTACAGCGGTTGTCTCGAAAAGCTTTTACCACGCGGTGGACGCGGTGCAGGTTAATAGAATATTTAATATTCTTATTAATTAGAAATATTCTGTAAATGCAACATTTTTTTATCAAAATTAATTCATATAGAGTTAATTTTGATGTCCTCTTCTTTATTTATTTTTACCTTCGGTATTTAAAATAAAATAAAAAAATTCTTTTAATTACATATCTCGATTAGAAAACTGTTTTTTATATATAGATTGTTAAGAGGTGCAATTAAAACATTTTCAAAATAAAAATAAGCTACATATTTATTATATTATTAGATAAATTTTGAAGCATAATATATATGCATCAATTGCAACTGATTGAAACCACTTTAAGCAATAAAAGAATCACGACGAAGGCCGACTTCTTGAAAAAAAGGAGGACGTTGTTTTTACACGATAGCGCGAAAAACATCTAGTGAAATAAAACGCTTATAATGATAATGAGCAGTCCCGACGTTTCCGCTTGAGTGTCGTCCAAGTGACCGTCGTCAGCGGTATTTTTAGAATCGTTTTTATCGAGATGACCATGTTCAACGTTTTGCTTCTATACGCCGCGGGGTCCAAGATTGATTGCCTTATCGATTTACGTAAATTCGTGAAAACGAATGACATCTCGCAATGACTGATCACTAGAGCGTAATATTACTTTGGACAGTTACGGACAGTTTCATTAGGATCTTTTGGTTCGATATATTTGGAATTGTACGTCTCTTGCTTTCATTTTCTAATTGCAAGCGAAAGGATTCTACCGCGTCGATAGGTTTTATTGCATTGCATGAGTTCTATCTTTCGTCACAGCGTTATGAAGCAATATGCAAATACGTATGATTATTCTTGAGAAAATAGATTCCAAGTGATGAAAATAGGCGTCTCGCCGGATATACAACTTGGAAACTGACAAACTAGTTAGTCAGCTATTAATTTTCCCTACCTGCGAAAATTGACGATTGCAATATATAAAGCCTACAGGTATATAAGAGAAAATTTTCGTGCAATGAATTAGTTCCTCTTGACATTTACTTGTGACAGACGACAAAATATGCCGAAAACGAAAATAAACAATTTATTCACGCCGTATCGGGAATTAATTAAAATCAAGTCAACTTCGTATCTTGCTGCCTCGAGCCGACGACATGAGGCTATGAGCTTCAGCCTCCATGAAATTTAAATTAGGTGTCGTTGCGTTTAGATTGTAGCATCGATAGGAAAACCACGGAGTCCAGAATCCTGGTCATAATTACGATAATGTTTAATATGGACGGATGTAAGGAAAAAGCTACGACAGGAGTCTTATCGTACAATCGCTCCTATTAGCAATAGTTTTCATCAGCGAATCCATTGCCGATATTATGCGCCGTCACCGTCATTCCTGTCACTGTCATTATATCGTTGCACGTATCTCGAGTATCCCATCTTCCTGCATGACGACAAAGAGAACCATTATCACTCGTTGCGTTTATCATCATCTACCTACAGTTGGCATGCGCTAGTATAGACACGTCGCCGGGAACGCACGATGCCTATCATTTCTCTTTCTCTCACGTTTTTCACGCATGCATACGCGCACGTACAAACGTATACGCGTGCGTAGAAATAATATGTACAGAAAGCGCGCACTCTCCAATGCAAACTGCATTCTCACGATAACTGAGGAACAATTCAGCCGATTGTTTGTTTGGAAAGCGGAGTAAGTCGAGAAGAGCTTGTTACAACTGATACGCCCTATCGGCTTACGCAATTATATTGATAAACCTTTATTTTACATCCAATTACTTTATTGTAAAACACTCTTTAAAAAATCTTATTATTCGTGTATTGAACAAGAAAACTTCCAAACAGGCTCTCGTGCATGCTTTCGATCAAACGCACGGACGATTTCAAACTGGAGCAACAGATGAAAAAGGCATTAAACTTCGCGCAAATCGCATCTCTGTCGATGAGATTATCTTAGATATTAAATGCACAGCTTTGCTTGGCTTACAGGTCGGTGATCGGGTCTACGGGTGTGCTCTAGTGAGAGTAGAAAAGGGGAAAGGGGAAGGTAAGGTCAGGGGTGAGAACACTCTGGGGTGGGGTAATAAAACTGTAAGCACAAGCACGAAACGGGAAACGGTGTCCTGAGCCGGGCATGATTGAGAGAAAAGGTTGAAAGGCAAGATGCTCACGATACAACGCTCGGAATTGCTAAGAGGGGGAGAAGGCTGCAACCCTCCCGGCACGCATTTACTACCCCCCGTAGTACCCAGGGCTTCAGTCTCCGAGCCCGCCGAGAGGAGCGTTTCCTTCAATCGAGACGTCCACGTGAAGAGGATCGGTGAGTCCAGGCAATATCACACCATACATACTGCGACATTCCTGCATATGTAGTGGAGCGAGAGAGATCGAAAGAAATGGCGCTGCTTGATTTTTTAGGCCCAAGATGTATCGGCCATGTTTTAGAAAAAACCGATGTATATATAATGTAATAATACTAATAATAACATATAATATATAGTGTTGACAAACTAAGTACAATTGTAGAGTACTACATTTCAGAAAACATAGCAAAGTTACAATTTTAATATCTACGATTTCTGACACGATGTTAGAAAAATTCATTAACGTTTAATTTAAGCAATCAATTGCAAGGAAATATTATATTTTACTTATAATATTGATAGTCTAATAAAATTTCTTTACACATACATTTTCGAAAAAAATATATATATATATAGTTTATATTTATTAAATTTTGCAAAGATATTTATTATTCAATCCAATAGATAAGTTTTTAATTTTTTTATTATCACAAGTAAAATAGAAAAGCTTTAAATTATATTCCGCAATAGAAATAAAGACTGTAAGATAAATTCGGTTAACCAGTATGACCTTCGATAAAACCGACCCTTCACGTTTCGTCTAACAGTACATATATAGGATGATCCGCACGCGCGAGTACCAAAAGTACCGTTTGCCAAATTAAAATCTGATAAAATGAGGAGGTTACGCGGCGGGACGTGTTCGCAAGGACGATCTTCCGGTACGATTCATGATACGAGCGCTCATACACGGACAGAATTTAATGCACATTGCCACTATAAAAGTGCACGAAAAGCCAGTCGAGGAAAAGAGAAAGAAAGAAAGAACAGAGGGAAGAGCCGAGAGAGATCGCGCAAAATGATTCTACTTCACGATGCCGCGTTGTCTTATATCTCAGAAAAAAATTATGGCCCTAGAGAGCGATCCCAGATTGTGGAAATTATTCGCAGCGACTCCTCTCTCGTTCTTTTGCTGGCTCTCTCTCGCCAGGGATCTCGTCTCTCGACGACCGCTTCCAAGAATCGTCCTGACCGGGAAATTATACCGTGCGGTCGTGCGAAATTCCGTTGATGCGCGACATGGCAGCATTGCATACTTAATCTCGCAGAGATGGGAGACGCGAGAAATTTCGGCGCTGTCAACGAGTTTAATTAAGATTGCGCGCGCTTTTACGGTCAATTTTTTACTTCCTTAAAATCCCTTTTTATGATATTTTAACAGAGTCGATGCATCGCACGATGAATTTTATGGATTCTGACTAATCGCGACACTTATATTTAATGTGCCATATGTCCTTGAAAATTTGTAACTTGTAATTTGTCATATGCAGCAATCAAGCTAAAAAAATATTAATTCTTTGCATATGTGCCAATAACTCTTTGTCAGAAATGTACTATTCTACTTATTACGTTTAATAAATTTATATTTCTTACGCCAACATTTTATAAATATTTTGATAAACAGGAGAAAGAATTCTCTGATTTTTTAAAAGAGAACGAATCGCACGAAAACATCAAGCAGCGCCATAGCGCTACGAGCTATGCAATACGCCTAACTTGTGTCTAACTTCTGCAATTTCCTCTCGATATCAATGTGTAACATATTTAATTAGCAGATCCTGCCGCAGACTAACGGCACTAAATAATCGTTACGCTATGCGATCGATCCATTTTTTTTCCTTGCGTGTTGTCTAATATCAATGTCAGTATTAATCATGGCTAATTGGCCGTCGATCGCGTAACAATAATTTTAATCAATAGAAATAAAATTTTGTAAGCCTTTATGAATTTCCGCGATTGTTAGTATATAAATTATATATTCGTAAGGAGATAAAATATAATTTGCAAACAATTAGAATGTTTATTTATTTAATGAAATTAATTACAGTTAATTTCGTGTAATAAGTGCACTTCAATTGTTTGCGAATTATATTTTTTCTTATGAATATATAATTTATGCACTAACAACCGCGGAGTCATATAGACATTTTATTTGTATCGGACTTATTCTTGAAGTAAAACTCTCTATTAATTTAATTTATTTTAATAATTATTAAAATTATAAACTATTAACTTAATTTATTTTAATAATTTTAACGATGACTCTCTCCCTTAAACGATTCCCTGGAGAAGATGACAGCGATCTCAGTGACTTTGACATTATCAAGTTCAGTGAGTCGTCGTTATCTGAACCAGTAGGGGCAATTTCAAGTGAAAGACACGCGCCTTCGCTGTCTCTCGCAATTCTCTTAATGCGATATGCGGGATTGTAACGGTATAAATGTGCATACACAGGACTCAACCATTCCTCTATTACTAGCTAATTATTAATTGTATTAATGACCCCTCTTTACGCAAAGTAAGCGTTACATCCTGCTGACTTCCTTCATTGCACTCTTAACATGTGTTGAAGCCTTTCGCCGTGAAGGGTACGTATACAGAGTATTTTAATTTACGCGAGCAAGATTGTATATATTTTAGCAAGTAATAAATTTATTTAAGGTTATTATTTAGAATTTTTAAAAGTATGGTTATGATTTTAGAAAAATCCTAAATCCTGAATTTACTTAGAATTAAATCTTCTGATCATTCGTCTCGGATCTTGAAATTGGTGGTGTCAGAAGCAGAAAAGCAACACAATTAAAGTGAAATAATAATAATCCTTCCAAATTAAATTAGGTCGTTAATTTTAATTTGATTATGTTGCATGCTGAAAATATATCAGCTTGTAGTTATATTTTTGAGATAAAATTTATTTGAATACGTATAGATGTATTATCTCAACATCTAAACTTTAACTATAATAAGCGCTTCTCTCGAATATTTAGTTGATTTATTTACATAAATCCTGTTTCTAATATATATTAATATTAGAAATATTTTAATAAATGTTTAATAAAACAATATTTGCATTTGATAGAGTATACTTGTAAATTATATTGAAAACTCTCCTTTCCTATTGGAATAATATCATATGTAAAAATCATATGTATCCTAACAGTTGTCTTGTTTCGTTTTTTGATTAGACATATGTAATTAAAGTTCAATATATGGTTATTTATTGATTACTGAAACAATATAAGTTTTTGATATATTTCACAAATTTAACCTGTCGATTGAAAATATTATTTTAATATAAAAAGTACTCAACATTTTAATATAATTAAAAAAAAAATTTTTTACGTATTTTTCTTGTTTCTATCATAATTCAAGATATCATAATTGGTGTAATGAGTAGGAAAGAACCGTAGCGGAAACACTTCATTGTTTATTTCAATTCTATTATTTCTACGACACTGTGAAACTAGCCATCATGAGATTTAAGATAATTAAAAATGATTATCAGCGGAACTGATCTTATTAAGCCTCTGTGTTGCTGAGAATCACACGGTCACTATATTATGCTAGGTCACGTAGATATACTAAAAGCATACGAAGCTCGCGGTTCTATCTTGTTTATGCGCAGTTTCAGGAAAGCAACTTAATATGCCACACACTACGAGCCACGGCGAAGTACGGGATAAACACGACAGATAAAGCTAAACGCAGCGAACCGTCGCAAGTTCATTGCGTTTCCGCTTTCCGTGTATCGTTAACGCAGCGATCGAAATTAATTCGCGTCTTCGATATATCTCTTGCCTGTTCTGACAGCTCGATCATTTTTAAACTCGTCCAAAGCGTTCGAGAATCAGATGCATAATTAATTAAACGGTAATATACTAATGTGCGTTTTACGAATAACGGCACAAGTAAAATTAATGGCCTCTAAATCGAGGCAATTTACTTAGGATTCGACTTGAAGTTTATATTTATAATCGACATTTATTGCAAAACTCTATTTTTTGCGAGCTGTGATTACCATATCATGGTAATTTTTTAATATCATGTATCAAATTTATTTGTGTATCTGAAATTCAATTTGTGAAAAAAATCAAAAGTTTTTAGGAGGAATCGAAAGCATTTTGGCATTCAAAAATAATTAGAAAGCAATGTTATGAAATGAGGAGAGATTTTTCATTATGACAAAAAGAATCAGCTCAGGTCTGTGTATATCAGCGATCGCGTCATATTTCTCATTATATCAGTGCGAAGTATATATTTCTTATTATCCCCTCTTCCCTTCCTTTCTCTTTATCTTTCTCTCTCTCTTTCCCTTCCCGTCGTCAATGCGGGCGGTCTCGGAAAGTCAGCCTAGTTGGGTGCAGCATTGCGCTCTCGCGCATGTGCCTCTCGTCCAAGCTTGTTAAGGGCCCCTTGTGTCGTCCGCATTATCCCGCCTGCCGGCGTTTCCTGGATCGTCGCGTGCTCCGCGATCGCGGGGACTGGCTTTAACCCGATGCACATGAATGTGTACGTGTGTAACGAGGTGTAATACGCTTCCCGATCGCGCTATGATCTTCGTTAGATCGCTAATGAACGCCGCACGGAAATCGCTTCGAGATCCGCGCTCCAAGAAGCTGATCGTCGTTCGCGAAGCAAATCTAAACTAGTCTCTTTCTATCCTTCTCTGTCTTCTCCTCAGTTAGTTAATGATTAATTGTTAAGTATTGTCGAATTGACAAATGCTAAAATCCTTTGTGATGGAAGATGGCTTGATTAACTATATTTGTATAGAAGATACTCATTTTAGACAGATTTTCAGAAAAGCTCCATATTCAGATTTAAGATAAAATTTCTTTTTTAAAGCTGTAATGAAAACTTTTTATTTATCAAAAATGGATTGTATAACCATTCCATAAATTAAATTCTAAGTGCAGATAGTTATCAAAAATATAAGATATTTGAAAATTTTAAGTAATTTTATTTTAGTAGAATTTTATTTCCAGGAGTTTACAGAAATATTTATTGGCAAGTATTAAAAAGTCGCAATAAATTATATTGGATAGTCTCTCTGTGTTTTATACTAACTTATATCCATAAAATAAATTGCAAATTATCCTGTGTAGATATTGAATATGAAATCTGCTACTTTTTTGTTATGTTACGCAACAATTATTCAACATTCTTAATGCAAATT